AGTCAGCTGGAAAAGACTCATGGACAATTGGTTTTATATGTGGTAACTGTGGCAAAGCTATTATATGCACAAAGATGGAACAATATAGAAATACCCACAATAGAGGAGTGGATTGTGAAGAGGGCAAAACTTGCTGAAATGGCCAAAGTGATTTGTTTGATTAGGGAAGGAACAACAAATACTTTTATAAAAGACTGGAAACCCTGTATGTACTTTTCGCTGAAAATGGACAAAAAGTTTGGATGATTTCGGGATTTACTGAGTAAAAAGGGATGCTTATGGGAAGAAGGGAACCATGATATATAATTTGGGAAATGGTAATAATTATGTTTATTACAAAATTACAAAAATCGGAAGTCACTTCTTTAGATATTTTTTCTTTCTTTTTTCTTCTCTTGTCTTTTACTGCTTTTCACTTTTTCTTTTATCTTGTCATATCTTTTTTCTAATTCTTCATGTATCTGTAGTTTTTAATCCTGTAACAATTTTTTTCTCAATAAAAATTATATTTAAAAAAGCTACTGAGAGATATATAACAAAGGGTGAAGTATCCCCATTAAGGTCCCGACAAAGGACTTCTGCTATCTGTCTCAGTTCCAGGCCTGAACCCTGACTGAAAACAGTGCAGATAATCTTTCTTCTAGGCTGCTCTGGAGCTGGATCTTTATCACATGCTCAAACCTTTCTCAGAAAAGGAAGAATGAAAACTTGGTGATAGTTATCAAACACCACTGGATCCAAGGATGGTCTCTTTAAGAAGGGGGTGCACCACAGTGCTCTTCAAAGTGTTATCCCCTCCTGTGGACAATTGTTAACCATCCTTTGATACAGCAAGTCATGCCCCCTCAACCCAATGCCAGAGAGACATGGGCCAAGCCTGCAAGTGCCAGTGTCATGCAGACAGTACTCTGTTCACTTCCTCAGAGTCTACAGGCCAAAAGGAGTCCCAGATGAAATGGTGACCAAAACATAGCAGCCAGATGGGCAGTCTTCCCATCTATCTGTCCCAAAGAGGGAATTCACTACCCTAAACAAGGCTACCATTTGACAGCCCACTGATGTAAAAGGGATGAAAAGTAACAATGCTTCACCTCCCTTATCATTATGGTGTTGACTTGAAACCTTGGTCTTCTGGTCATTCTCCGCCTGTGAAGGAATGTAGATCTGATTTTGATACAGAGGAAGGGATGAGTGAGCCATTAAGATGGTAATGCAGATCAGGTCCATCTGCTCATCCAGATTCAAGTCATAAGGATGAACTTCTATACATTATATTTCATATTCTTTTTTCATATAACTGCTTTTTATATGTAACAAGTACTGTATATGTAGCCCATTCAGTTCATTGAAACGTGCTACGCGGTTACACAGAGGAAGCTATGGCAGCTTAGGGTTGAAAAATAAACAACTAGTCTACCTGACATTGTTAATATTACCATACTGCACTAGATCTGCTTGAAAGTAATGTAGGTCCTGGGAATTTTATTTGTTTGTTTATTTATTTGATTTATATGGCTGCCCATCTCAGATACATGACTCTGGGTGGTGTACAATTTTAAACTAAGTAAAATATATACAATTACTAAAATAAACTTAAAAATAAAAGACAGGAAAATAAATCACATAGTAACCAAAGAATCATAAAAGGCCTTCAACATAGCCAGGAAACAGGCTCTGTCATATACCTGGAAACCCAGGCACAGAACTAGGTCTTCATGGTCTTCTGGAAGGCCAGCAGGATGGGGGCAAACTGAATCTCAGGAGGGATGATGTTCCAGAGGCAAGTATTGGCAAACCCAATATGAGTACATATAGATGTACTTGCATCCATGTTATGTATTCCCTTCTGGAATAAGCAAAGTTAGGGAGAGTGCATAAAAGGAGTAAGAAGTAGTAAGCCAAAGGAATTAGAGATGTGAAATAAGAAAACATAGGTAAAACTAATTTACACTAGCACCATTCACTATACCTTTCTATGCCTTTCTATCCTTGTAAATCATCCTTCCTTCTACCAAATTTATATACAGCTTTATATATTGCTCTTTTCCCCTTAAACTTCTCACCTTTATCTTTATGAGGATCTCATCAACTCCATCTAACCATGACTTGCTCACTTTTCCTCATAACCTGTTCACTCTTCCTTCATATATTTGTTTCACAGTTTGATCCTCATTTGCTGTCTCTACATAACCAAACCACTTCAGCATACTTCTTTCATATTTGTTACACATTCATTCAGCACTCATTCATTTGTGACTTTATTTCTTCTTGTTTTACTGCACATACCTCATTCCCACTGCATTCAGCTTACTTTTGTTTCTACTGTTATACCCAACTCTTTCTCACTAAGTGGGTAAAAGCACATATAACACATATAACCTGAAACAATTTTTGCTTTTCTCAACAAATATTTACTCCTTCCAACAGATAATGTACTGTTTATTAACATTTGCATGTCTTAAAATTTCTCCATCCATTTCTCCATCTTTAGTAAACAATTGTACAAATTCATCTACTTGCACTGGTTTTTTTTTATTATTTATGCTTAATTTGTATTTGTTCACTCAATTTTCCTTTTCAAACACAAATACTTTGGTCTCTAATATGTTAATTTTTAGATCCACATTCTTTGTTGTGTCATATAATCTTTCAAATATTTGCTGCAAATCGTTTGGGTTATCAGTCAAGAACATGGTATCATCTTCATTCAGAAATACATCCCCATTCAAATATTTGCTGCAAATCATTTGGGTTATCAGTCAAGAACATGGTATCATCTTCATTCAGAAATACATTCCCACCAGTCCCCTGTAATATGACAAGCATTCCTGATAGGCCTATCCATGCAGTGAACAGCAAAGGCAACTTCACATATCTTTGTCTTATTCCCTGTCCAATGTTGTACCATTAGCTAATCATTCCATTTATTCTCACATGTGCTTTACTTCCATCATATAATGCTATTACTGCATTCAGCAACTTTCACTTCTATATTCATGCAAAATATTCCATAATTTAAGCCTATTCACTGTATCATATGCTTCTCTAAATTAGCAGTAGTACAATACACTTTCTTTCTCACATTCATACATGTTTTAATGACTTGAGGAACAAAATCTGATATGTACATCCCCTACTTGGCTCAGAACCACACTGCACTTCTCAAATTTTGCTTGTTATTACTTGGTTATTACTACTATTATTATTACTTTCAGTCAGAATTCACCTTCTCAGGCACGCTTAATGAACTAGTCTCTCTGAACCCTTTGCATTTATTGTTGCTAATTTTCCCTTTGTACATGGGAATGGTAATGGCATTCAAGTCACCAAGCACAGAAACAGTCTTTACATACAATACGATACAAGTTGCACAGCCACATGATACGCAAATGTTAACATTTTTTCAATTACACACCTACATTTGCAGCCCTACAATTTTAAAACATTCTCACATTTTTTGACTTCCTTTTCATAAAAAATAAAAAATGGGGGGTCGCTAATTTTACAGCATTTGTTTCAATTTCACTCTTCAACATATCACTGTCATTCCCATACAGACCTCTAATATACTCCTTCAAGCATTGCTTCATTTCAACTTTGTCCCAGATAATTTCATAACTTTTAATTCCATTCATTCTGTTGAGGGCTCTTTGTGTAACATTTCCCACCAACTTCTGCAATGTATATATATATAATTTCCAAAAAATTGCTGGACATTTTTAACTTCAATCTTCCTTTGCTCTCTCGGACTACATTTTTGCAGCTATCTTCTCTCTATTGTATATATTTTGTACAATGCCTTTCTCTAATGTTTTTTTTTTACAGCTGTTGTTGGCATTTTTTTCCTCATTGATAGCATTTTTCATTTCATTGTTCACCAAGCATCTTTTTTCATCCCATTAGTGTAACACCAGACATATCATTTATTAATTAATGCCCTTTACCATTTATTCCTTTTACATGCTAAGTTGTAATCTTCTGCATGCCATAGTAATACCAAATAGTAATACCCTAGATATTGACATTTTCCATCCATTCATAGTTTTGGTCAAGGCTTTCATATAAGGCTTGTTAGCAAGATGGGGAATGTGTACACTAGGTTACTAGCCCTTGTTGTACCCGCTTTACCTGCAGAATCCTCTGGTAATAAGGACAGTATTGATCAGTTTTGACACATTTTGGCCAGTATGCAACAATAGCTCAGTTGTATCCCAAGTATGCTGACGTTATTCTATCCAAGTTAGGATCTCTAATCAACACATTATCTTGCAAGCTGATATACTGTTGCCTGCATACCACCAAATAACTATATATATTGTAGTGACACACACTACAGGACATAAATGTTCCAAAATTTGGAGTATTTGCCACTGAGTTGAATTGTAACAATTGAATGAGTTGATGTACATTGCCCACTCACTGTTGCTTGTCAGTAGCAATGACAAAGTATCCCAGGAGACTTTCATCTCTGGATTGTCTAATATTATGTCTGGTATAATAATACTTTATATACTTTTTCTCCAAACTAGAGTCATAAATGAAATCCAAAATCTAAATTCTAATTCTGGTTTAAGAGAGCAAAAGGCCAAGAATCCCAGTTGTATGTACTATTAACTAAATGATCAGGCCATGTATACTAGCAGGTTTGTCCATTTTGACGGAATTGGTTAGAATTCTTTTTTATTGTACATGTAGAATAAGTCATTTTGTTAGTAACTTTACTTAGTAGTTCAAACCCAATACTTGCATTTGTTCTTGCAATTAATTATATTAGAAACCTTAGCATTTAAGGTTTCTCTAAAGAAAACTTAGTCACAGTTCCTTCTATACAATTAGCATGGTAGTATTCATTTTCATGCCACTAAATTAGATAGTTATGTAGTTTTCTATTTACCTATTGATATATAAAAATGACAAGTAAATGTGAACATCATTATTATTTATTTTATTTTTTTTGCTTTATGTTTCAGGGATTTATTTGTCCTCTTTGCATGAAATCACATGGATCAGCTGAAGAACTTTTTAAACACTATGAAGCAGTTCATGATTCTGGTATTGATACAAGTCATGGAGGAGAATCTAACATGACCCCCAAAAGGTGCTTATATAGTGAATGATAATTTATTGTAACTGCATTTAAATCACAGGTTAATTTGAGTATTGGATGATACTCAATATGAAATATATTAATTTGTAGTAGAAAAATACATTCAACAAAAGGAAGGTTGCTAATACTAAAAGCTTTCATTTTTTTAACAATATGGTGGATTGGGTAGTATCTTGGTTTGGATTTGCCTTAGACTTTCCTTATGTTTATGAAGACAGATCCTTTTTGCTTTGCTTGGTCTCCGAATTATGCTTTAATTTATAAAAATGAAAATTATTGATTAAATGTTTTGATGCCACTGAAATATTATTTTCATTAGATTAATTAAATTGAAATTAAAAGAAGACAATATAAAAGGAAAGAATAAATCCATACATCTAAGGCCAAACCTTATTTAACTAGGAAGTAAGTTTCATTACTCTCATAGTGATTTACCTTTGAGGGAATGTGCTAAAGACTCTGCTACATATTAACCTAACACGTATGTCTTAATTGTTTTAATGCTGTTTTGTTTGTTTGGTGACTAATATGAGGATTTTTTTTTTAAATTATTCAAAACTATGTTTAAGTATATTATTTTACAGAAATAAACTGAATTTAATTAAATATATATTTCCTTCTCTTTAACATGGATTATACTCAGTGATGACATAACTTTACTGAGACAAGAAGTTCAAGACTTGCAAGCTTCACTTAAGGTTGGGAGAGTGCATTATTTATGTAAATAATTAGAATGCATTATTTATGTATTCGGTTTTTTTATTTCAATTTGAAAAGTACACCAGAATATTATTAAAGTCCCAGGTTCATATGATTCTTTTAACTCTGTTTCTTCAGGAAGAAAGATGGTACTCTGAAGAGCTGAAGAAAGAATTGGAAAAAGTTCAAGGGCAGAGGCAGCAAGTAATTATTTTAAAATATTTGAAGCAAGCTTTCCGCAAGCAATTTGTTATCAACCTTGAAATGAAGATTATTACCTGTTTTGTAAGGCACGTGGCCTGATTCAGTTAGTTCTAATTCTCCTATTCTACTATGGTGATATAATGTAAGAATATCACATGTGCATTGTATCCCCTATGGATGCCATTAAATATTTTGGTCAACAAAAATTCTTTAACTTACACAGTATTATATTTATCATAAGAATAAAGATTTCATGTTCTGAGTTTGCTGCTTCATGTTTGTCTATGTGCAAAGACTGAACTGTGGTCTGTGAGCCTTCTGCAAGCTTCCCTCATCCAGTTTTCTCTTTTCTTGTCATCTTTCCACTTCTATCATACATCTTTCTATTCCCCATTCCCCAGTTTCTTTTTCTGTGGCTTTTTCTTTGCAAATCTCCTTTGTATTCATCACTAATACAGTGAAAGAAGGATTTTTAAAAGTATTAATTCTAAAAATAAATTAGTTGACTTAAGCTCATTGGGTTGTCAAAATGAAAATTATTTAGTGGGAAAAATGGTTGTGGTTCATTCCTAGGTAAACCAGTTTGCAGTACATGAGTGCGGTTTACTGCACATCTTTTTATTCATTTTAGTGGATTCAGTCTGAAACAGCAGCATAGTGGATTATAGCCTCCAACACATGGTAGGTTCTTGTAGTAGTTCTACAAGATAGTTGGTAGTTAATAGAGGATCTATCGGTCTTAGTGATATGCTCAAGTGCAGGAATTCTCAGTCATAAAACTTGGTTTAAGATCTTTACATTTTTATTTTCTGCTGTGATTATGTAAATGGTTACAAACTTATAACAAAAAGTACAGACTCATAACTTTCTATTTCTTTTTTTTTTTTTACAGGAATCCAAACCTGATGGACTAGCAACTGCTGCCTCTACAGGTGACAAACATTTTAAAAATAGTCTCATTATTATGAGAGAAACAAAGTTAATGAAACATAGTTGTCCAGAAAAATGATTTCCTGATCCATATCTCTCATTAAGGAAGCATTTCTCCATAAAATAATTTATTGACTGATTGTAAATACTTCAATTTAAAATGTACTCTTTAAATAATTTAAGATTTTTAAGATTATTTTTGCTTATTTGTGTAGTAGTTCTGTGTTTTATAGAAGAAAGAATGACCTTTTTTGTTAAACAAATTTGTTCTTAAAGCTTATCTGCTGTAGAACTTGTTATTTCCATTTTAATTTCCATTATTGTTAAAAATGATGATAAATGATCTTTTTACTGAGAACTTGAACCAAAATTGCTCTTTTTGTCTGATCAAATAATTATAAAGCAGTTGAAGCATCATAATTAATAAATAGTTGTTTTTCTTAGTGTTTATCCCATTGGGTTGCAGGGCCTAGGTTTTTGGTGCTGTGCTTGCTTAGTTCATACAGCAAAGCTATCAATGCGTGATGTGACAGGGCTTTTCTTTCTCAGTTGGCTTGCTGCAGAGCCTGACACTGATTATGGCTGAGAAAGAGTGATTGACCTAAGGTCACCCAGCTCTGGTCATTCCCTTTAAAGCCCTACACAAAGATATATCAGCTTATACCTTGCCAGAATTCAATCAGCGTGGCTGGCCTAGAGAAGGCCTATTGAGAGTCCCCCATCCTCATGAGGGATATGAGGTGAGGATGAGATGATAGGCCTTCTCTGTATTCCCCATTTTGTGGAATAATCTCTCCTCAGAAGTATGTGCAATCTTCACTTTGCTGTCATTCTGGAAACCGGTTAAATCTGTTTTATTTCAGCAAGGCTTTGACCTCACTTGACTGATGAAAGGCATCTCTCTTTGATTTTTATTATTGTCATTTGCTTCTATTTTGTTAATTTGTTTTCTTTTCCTTACTATACACCTTCCATATTGGGGCAGGCTATTTTTTTTTTTTAATCTGCGCTCAGTCGTTACTGACTCTGCAGTGACTGCTTGGACGAGTCCTTGCAGTTTTTCAGGCAGGTG